GGTATTTATGTTTTTTAGTGTGTTGTAAGCCACCCAGAGTCCCCCATTGTGGGGAGATGGGTGGGGACAAATTAAATAAATAAATAAAAATAATTTTCATGTGATTATACTCTTTGATGACAGTTTAATTTATTAAACATATATTCTGTATTTGTGCTTCTATTTATCTGCATACACACATTCATGCAAAAAAGCAACTGTTACAATCCTGTTTGATTTTCTTATTTTTCCTTTTTGAATTGTAAGTGAAGCCATATATTTATTACAAAATATTTATTTGGATGTTTTCATTTCTTCCATCTCTGATTTTTTGCCGAGTCATTTAATTAATTTAAATTAATAAAAGGAAGATTTCAAAATATTTTATTACTTAAATTCATAAATCCATTTAGATACCAGCTGACTGAATTCTTGCTCTTATTATTGCAGAAGTTTGTACTAGGCCTTCTCTTACCTTGTGATATTCTGTCACATTGTGTTTCTGTTCATGCCAGCATCTTTGTGTATGTACACAGAAATAAAATTGTTTTTGCAGCTCTAAATAAACATTAAATTTTCTTTATTAACTGTGAAGTGAGTTTTCACAAATGGTGGCTTAATTCTATAAATCTTTTCTGGATAATAACAATAATGATAGTAGTGGCGGTGGTAGTAATAGCATTGCACCAATCATAAAACTGCTATGTATTATTATTGAATGCCTTCACAAAATAATGTGTTCTTTAAAAAAGAAATCACCAAAAATATTTTAAAGAAAATAATTCTTTAAGAAAAGTGTAAATTTTAGGAAGTCCATTTTATATTTGCCTGTTATTATGCTAATACTTTCAAAAATATTATTTCAGAAACAACTAGCAAGTGATTAGTTTTTGGCAACGAAGTGTCACAATGCTGAAAGATAACTACCGCCAGAAGAGTACAATTAACAGTGGATAGAAAATTCCATTTGTTCTTCTATTTTTAAAAGATAAACTTATTGTTACTAAACATTACGGTAAGGAAGCACAAGATGATTTCCAGCATGTATGCAGGGACAATTGAATACATAAGAATGCAATAGAAAGCTTCTTAATTTCTATGGATATGCATTGCAAAAATGCATTCTATCTATTTATGCTGCATTACAGTGATTACATTAAAGTTATGCTTCAAATAGAAATTTGTTTTCTAATGTGAAAAGTGTATCATTTTTGTTCTTGAATAGAAAGATGCCATTGATTTTGTAACTCCTGAGGAAGTGGACAAAGTCTTCCAATCTGTCACCCTGGCCTCCTGTTTGTTTAGATCCTGGCCCCTCCTAGGTTGTCAAGGCAGCCCGGGAGGTGACCAAGGAATGGATCTATGTGGTGGTATCATCCTCTTTTGAGGGAGGAGGTGGTTCCTCTGGTCTTGAAAGAGGCGGTAGTATGTCTCCTTCTCAAGAGGCCATTACTGGACCCCTTGATTCTGGACAACTATTGTCCAGTTTCCAATCTTCCCTTTGTGGGAAAGGTTTGAAGAACATGGCCAGATGGCAGCTACAGAGGATCTTGGACAAAACAGTTCATCTGGACCCATTTCAGTCAGTTGTCAGTCTAGGGCAAAATACAGAGATACTATTGGTCACGTTTGTTGATTACTTTTGGCAGAGGTGGAATGGGAGTAATGTATCCATCCTGTGCTCCTTGATCTCTCAGCAACTTTCACTACTGTTAACCATGGTATCCTTCTGGACCAGTTGCAGGGGTTGGGAATGAGAGGCACTGTGTTGCAGCAGTTTGCTTCTTTCTTCAGTGGTCACTTCCAGTTAATGTTGACAGGAGGGGAAACATTGCACCTACAGCCCCTCACTTGTGGGGATTGAGGTCATCTGTCTGTTCAGGGTCTAGTATTATCACTATGCTGATGATCCCCAGATATACATCTCAACCCCAGGATGCACAGGTGAAGCTGTCAATGTACTGGCCAATGTCTGGAGGCTGTTCACATCTGGATGGGGAAGAACAGACCTCAGCTCAATCCTGACAACACTGAGTGGCTATGGATGTAGCTATTTGGCTCTCCTGAATTTTCTATGATTGGTCTTGAATAGGTTCCACTTCCCCATTGGAGACTGGGGTGCAATTTGGGGTCCTCCTTGACTTGCTGATACTACTCAAAGACGAGATGGCAGCTGTAGCCAGGTAGGCCTTTGCACAAGTTCATCTTGTGTACCAGTTGCACCCTTTCCTTGACTGGGAGGCCCTTCAGACAGTCGTGAGGTCACCTCACAACTGGAGTATTGCAATGCACTCTACCTGAGGCTGCCCTCGAAGCCCATCTGGAAGATACAACTGGTTCAAAACGCAGCAGTGCAAGCAGTAAGGGGCATTTCTCATTATGCCCATGTGTCATTGCTGCTTCATGAGTTGCATTGAATGCCAGTTGGCTTCCAGGTACAATTCAAAGCGCTGGTTGTTATCTATAAAGCCCTCTATGGCATAAGGCCCGATTATCTGTGGGACTGCATCTCCAATTGTTTCTGCCCACCCGGCATGTTCAGGCAGAGTGGGTACACTCCAGGTGATCCCAATTAAACATTGTCATATTGTGGAACCAAGGAAGTGTGGCATCTGGGTAACTGCCCCTGCCCCCCAGAGATACATATGGCATCCACACTCTTGGAGTTCTGCAGGGCCCTTAAGACCTGGCTTTGTTCCTGTGGAGCCCCTGTCATGTTTTTATTGATGTGTTTTTTAGTCTAGGCTGCCATGTTTTTAATTGTATGTTTGGATACTGTATGCCACCCAGAATCTTCTGGGGTGGGCAGCCATAATAAATTATTATAGTTGATCACACAGTCAGCCAGATGTTTAGACTGGATTTGGCATTTTTGTCCACCAGTCGAGTCCTTCCCCAAGGACCTGGGATAGGCAGATGTTGTTGTTTACTAATATTAAAGGTATATTATTATTATTATTATTATTATTATTATTATTATTATTATTATTA